ATAAAGATAATGAATCTTGAAATTATGTTAATAAATTCGAATGAAAAGAACCTATATCCCAAATGAGTATGATGTGGAGACTTGAGTTCTCATAGGTGTGTTTGATGTGGTTACACATGATTTGTGAACTTGTTGCTTTCACCTGTTGAGGAATATGGTTGATTTTATATTATTATTCGATATATATTGTTTTCTATTTTTAGTTGGCCGATGATATCTACTCAGTACTTGTGGTTGTACTGACCCCTACTTGTAATTGTTTTTCTTTGTTATTTGTGGAGTGCAGCAAACGTACCGTCATCTTCAACTCAACCGCAACTCTAGCCAGTCTTCGTCACACCAGATTTCAGGGTGAGCTAAAGCTTCTAGCTTGGACTGGATCTTCTTCTTCATGTCTTGATGCCTTGAAGTTTTGGCATAGACTAGCCATTATTTATGTTTCGTTTCTTAGATACTCTTAGCTTTAGTAATTTAAGGATAGATGTTCTTGTGATGATGATTTCCAGATTTTGGGAATAATAAGTATTGAGTTTTAGAAGTTATTTATTGATTTCGTTAATGAATTTTAAGTCTTCCTAATTGTATTCTGTTTTTTGTGGTTAAAATGTTGGGGTTTAGATTGGTTGGTTCGCTCACATAGGAGGATAAATATGGGTGCCACTCACGACGCGATTTGGGTCGTGACAAGCATGCAGTGTGCTTCATTGATCTAGTTTGGGCTCCACATTTAGTGATGAGCCTCATTGCATTTCGGAGTATCTTTTTATTGCGTTAGAGTTAGTTCAGTAGAATGTTTTGGGGTTTGTCTCAACATTCATCTTAGTCTGTTCAGAGGCTTCATAGAAAGATAGATAGTTAGTAGTTCAGTTTTGGAGTCTCATTTTTCTTTGTAACTTCATATGTTCAAGTGTTTAGACTGAAGTGCCATTTTTTTCATACTATCATATTAAGTATTTCTTTTAACCATGCTCTATTTCTTGATTTAGTTGAGTTAAGTATTCCGATGAGTTATGTAATCTAGTCCAAGGGTTCTCTCAAGGCCAGCAATGGTTGTTGGGTGATGTCCACATCCAGTGTGTAGGCTCAGGGCGTGACAGAAACTATAATAAGGTGTCAAAGTCATATGTGGTGCCTTTGACGGTCGATACTCAACATAAGACCACCTTCGTATTTTTTGCATCCCCTCGAAACTATTATGTGACAAACTCAACGCCGAATTTGTCCTCTATATCTGTATCATCTCATAAATCGAAATATCTAGGATTAGTCAAATAAACTAAGAGTAGTTTTTTTAGGAAAGAATAGGAAATATGTGGAAAAATTCCAGTGTAAAAAGTGAGTTTTTAGTATTTTCAAATGACCATAAATTCTAGATCAAGATGAGTTAGGGCCAGTTCTTGATATAGGTTGAAATACCTTGAAGATATCTTTCCAATTCCACCAATTTTTCATAACTTTTATTTAGTATGAGAGGGATATGCCTATCTGAAGTTGGGTGGTTGGATTGAGGAAAATCCAATCCAGATTTTAGTAAGGGTAAACTTTTCTTTTCACCCTACTATTTCATAATTATTTTTAAGGTTTTATTAGGGGTAAAAAAATTAAGCTTTAGTTCAATTTTAGAAAAGTCAAATACTCTTAGGACCTGGGAGAAAAGAGAATAAAAGAGGAAGATCAAGAATCCTTCAACAACACTAGGGTTTCGCAGGTGGAATTCGTCTAGGATGTTACCTACCAAGGAATGTGAGATCCTTCAGCATTGGATTCTTCCACCCATGCAACAATATGTTAAATTCAGCACAATAAGAGTGATTTGATGAACGTTGACATTCTTGAGGAAAAACCGTTGAATTCTTGATGGCTGAGTTGTAGTATACCTTTGCTTATTCGATTCATGTTTCCGGGATGTTTTACAACTCTAAACTATTGAGTATTGAGGATTTTAGTTATCATAAGTTTTAGGGGGTGAGATCCATGGGACTTAAGGAGGTTTACAATTGAAAATCAAAGAAGAAAATCCAAAAATCCCGTTTGACAAGCCTTAGGGGGCCACGACTGCCAGATCCCCTTGAGGAAGCCTTTTTCTGACAAGGCCTGGCGCGCTTCACCAGCCAGTGTCCCTCACGACATTCTCTATCCATTAGGCTCTGGCTCCCCGCGCCTCTCAGAGCGCCAGGGTCACCTGGAAATTCCATTTTCCCTCATCCTTTTTTATGAGTTCCTAAGTGATGCACCTTGAATTCGTAGTTTATTACAACACCCTAAAGTACATCTTAACATCATGAAATCATCCATAAACATTAGATCATGGTCCTTCAATCCATAATACAATTCAAGGAAAGTTAAGATCATAGTCAAAGAAGTTAAGAGTCAAGTATAAAAGTTAAGAAGCAAGTCAAAGTGAGTTCTTAATGTTTTCAAGAGTCTTAAGGAAACATTTTAACTTTGTTTTAAGGATCAATCTACGAGATGAACAACGAGTAAAGAGTTGAGTTGAACTCTCAGAAACAATAAGGGAGCTAAATATTCCCTAAGAGCTAAGTTTCAAATTAAGCAAAAATTGAGAGTTGAGTTCATTCCTCAAAAGATGTAAGGAACTAAGTATTCCCAAGAATGTTTATAAATCTTATTACATTTGAGTAAAGTGGAAACTAAGATTTTCCAACAGAATTTAAAAACAAGAAAGGGGAACATGGATTCAACGATGGCTTTTTAAAGCTAAAAAGGGTTGAAAAAAGTATCTCAACCTAGAGGAAGGAGGCTATTTTAAAAGTGTGAGATAAAGTATATTTGGAGTAATTTTAAGCACACATGTGTGGATGAGAGTTTATATTAACTTAAGTCTCCATGTAAACCATGTAGCCATCATGGGTATTAAAGGGTCATACTTGTTATATGATCACATAAGTTTAGCGAGTGGATCCAATAGTTGAGGATGTTCTACGTGACTACAAAGTATTGGACAGTTCTGGTAGTGTGGGCAAGACATTGTATCACCACTTAGGCTCATAAAGGTGGTTGTCACTTAGAGAATCTCCCATATTACTATATTACTTTCATATATAAGTATTGTTGAGTAGCTATAGAATTTTCATTGATGAAATAAATAAGCTGCTTAACCATTTTACAATATATATATATATATATATATATATATGTATGTATATCACATGTGTTTTAAATTGCTTACATTCATTTATTGTGTTGAGTACTTCTTGAGTATAATAGAGCCAATGTAAGTTCATATAATTCTCATCAAGCCTAAGTTTTGTGTTTAGCATTCTAATTTTAATACTATATATATATATATATATATATATATATATATATGAAATGTGTTTTAAATTGCTTACATTCATATATTTAGTTGAGTATTTCTTGAGTAGAATAGAGCCAATGTAAGTTTATATAATTGTCATCAAGCCTAAGTAGTTTGTTTAACATTCCAATTCGAATACTAGTACATTCAATGTACTAATACAAGTTGGCATTCATCGTCTTATGATGCAGACACAGGTAACCAGAATCAGCACCTCTAGTTTGAGCACTCAAGGTCTATGGTGAGCCTCCTTGAAATCCAGATGATCCTTTTTATATGTTTTTCAGTCTTTCAATTTAAGAAAATTGTGGGGTATATTCCATCATTTTTCATCACAGTATTGTTAAAGACTTGATAGACAGATAGTAAGTTAATTCATTTGATTCTCGTTTATTTCAGATTAATTTATTGAGATTTAAGTACCATATTGGCCAGACTATTATGTTTTAAGTCTTTCTTTTAAGCTAGTCTCTACTGAGTTAAGTAAGTCATACCAAGGGTTCACTCAAGGCCAATAATGGTAATTGTGTTCCGACCACGTGCAGGGTGTAGGCTCTGGGTGTTACAATATCTATCGTATGTAGAAACATATGACAATCAACCTGAAAATTGTAAGCACCTACATATTCAATACCCTTGAAGATTATAGGTTGAAGTTTAAGAACTTATTAAAAAGGTCATGTTGGCCACTAGTCATTATAGACCCTATAGTTAATTGGGGAAAATTGCCTGTTTCAAGGACGCATCCATGCGGGGAGACACAATAGTTGTCTGTACACCTTGAGAGTTTGTCCCTTATCAAAATGCTGAGAGTTTTTGTCCCTGATCAAATAACTAGCTGAGATAAGTAAGAAGTTATTTTATAATCTCTAAAGTAAGATATGATGGTACTTCCTTCTCTAGAATCTCCTCTGCTTCCCTTTCCTCATCCTCTCTTGCTACCTCGTCAGTCCGTGGAGGAGTCACTCCTCTATACTTAACTGGACCTGGTGCTTGTCATATGCCTCTAGTTGACCTTCTCCCCCAGTCTCTACTATGACATCTCAACTTTGTTCCCACTCGAGCTGCAGCCCTGATGGTTGGCATTGGAGAACAAAATTTACTTGTATTGGTATTCTTACAGTTGTTGATCTAGTTCTACCATTTGTGAAATAGAGTAAAAAGGTTAGATACCAATTAGATTCAAGTAAAAACAGGAAATAAAGAGGACGAATGGTTTTCCAAAAGTCATATATCCTCTCAAAGAAAAGTAAAGGTGTCCCTATGCCGTTCAGTAAGACACAACTAAACATGTCCTTGTGTGATGAGATCATCGAACATAAAGCTCTAATCCTATGTTTGTCACAACTCAAAACGAATCAATAGTGAAACCTACACTTAACCTCCTAGTTGGGAGAACCAATAAAGTAAACCCCAACATAAATTCAATTGTTCAACTACGGATAACAACCATAATGTAGAATTTTAAAACTTATTAAAGTAACCAACCAAATAAACCACTAAAGTCTATTACATTTTATCCCCAAAACCTGAAATTTATCACATCAAGAACATCGAATCTTCAAATACTAAGTCTAAGAGTATTAAAGACACAAAATAAATAAAATTATTTATTTTTGAAAAATAAGAACATCATGACATGACCAAGAGAATCAAACACGAGCTTGAATGAATGGCTCACCTTGGCACCTGATATGCTGGAGACTAGCTAGGGCTGAGGGAAATTCAAATTCGGTTGTACACTTGATGCACTCCACTAAATAAAAACAAAACAAAAAATACAAGTAGGGTTCAGTATAAGACAACATGTACTGAGTAGATATCATTGGTCAACTTAAAATAGTAACAAATATGCATAAGTAATAATATAAAATAACCTATAACAATTAGCTATTGATAAACACCAAATGATATGAACAATAAAAAAAGTGTCTAATCCTTCACAATATCGAGCACACACATGAGGACACATGCCTCCAGACCATTCTCGTTTGAGAAATGGATTCTTTGAGATTTAGTACATTTAGTTAATTCAATATGTTTTCCCCTATAATATTACAATGTCAGACCGTGAAACCCCGATCCAATAATACCTTATCAAAATGTTACACCCTGATCCAATAATACCATATCAGAACGTGATACCATTCGAATAATACCATGTCAAAACGTGACACCCAATCCAATAATACTGTGTCGAGACGTTCCACCCAGATCGAAAAATGTATTGTTAATTTATCATTTATTATCACCACTTTTCACTTTCTTTACTATATTTCATCAAAGTCTTCTATATTTAAGGCATCACTTCAATATAGAGGGTTCAAGATTATAAATTTCAAAGTCTCAGGATTCCACATCATTCTCAAAGAACACATAGATTATTAAAACCACAAAACCAAGTAAAAATTCACACAATCAAGTACATAGAGAACTTCATAGTATAACTAAATACATATCAATAACTATTGATAGCCTATCTATCAAATATATTAAACCATAACCTACCTCAATAGAATAACCAAAGTCCAGTTAACTACTTCTCCAATGCTTTTCCTTGCCTCAATGCCTCTAAAACTTTCTGATCTATCAAGTATATGTGCATAATTTTTAAGTTAACAAGTCTATAAACAATCATATTATTATATGTTTAGCCCAAAAATGGATGTGGTGAATTCCCTTTCGGATATTACATTAAATTAGTTTGAGTAATTTTCTTTATTAAATCATTGCTCGCCTTATTCATGATAGATTGGAAGGCTTTCTCCGAAGGTTGATTCCAGAATCCATTTGGCTTTGTGAAGGGTAGAAATGTCATTGAAAATGTGATTTTAGCTTAAGAAATTGTTTTTGTTATTATATTGAGCGGTAAACTACTTAATGTGGTTATTGAGATGGATATGGACAAACCTTATTATGATGTTGACTGGAATTTCTTGATTTACGTTTTAGAAAGGTTGGCTTTGATTCTAATGTGACTGATTAGATTTGGAGGTCTCTTGCTAATAATTGGTACTCGGTTCTAATTAATGGGCAAGCACGTGAATTTTTTCATTCTACTAGGGGAGTTAAGCAAGGGGACCCTCTATCTCCTACTCTTTCTCCTTCGATCAGGGAGGTTTTATCTCTATCTCTTAATAAGTTGTTTGAAAGGTCTAATTTTAAGTATTATGGACTACCTAAGTAAAGTTGATAATTGAATCATCTAGCATATGCAGATGATAAATTATATTTGCAGCAACTGATATAAGATCCATAGAACTGATTATGAAAACTCAAATATTATATGAACATCAATCTGGTCAACTTATTGATAAGAATAAGATTATTATTATGTGTTCATCGAAGCTTCACAGACTTCCATTAAGGTTGTCAAACAAGTCACAAGTTTCTCTAAAGAAAAGTTTCCTTTGATGTATTTGGATTGTTTTATTGGGAATGGTAAGAAGAGGGTGGTAAAATTTTCAAAATTTATCAAATAAATTCATAATAAGCTTCAATTATGGAAAGAAAGATAAGTTTTTTTTTTGGGGGGGGGGGGGAATGAATTTGATAAATCATGTATTGCAATGTGTGCCTATTGACCTTTTATCTACTATTAGCCCTCTGAAATGTGTTATTATTGATATTCATAGGATTTTTGCTAAATTCTTATGGAACTTTAAAGAGGATTGGACAACCACTCACTAGATTGCTTGATGATCTGTGTTTCAAAGAGTGAGGGAGGTTAGGGGTTTAGATCATTATTTGATGATTCCAAATATCTTTTAGCAATATTCTGGTGGAAGTTTACAACTTCCAATTCTTTATGGGCTAATTTCATGTGGAACAAATATTGTAAGACAAATAAAACTCAAGTAGTTCAATGGAATGGTTGTTCAAATGTATGGGAGGCTACGCTTCAAACTAGAGATTTTTTTATCGAGACATTTGGTGGGAACAAAAAGAATTTCATGCTAGTTTTTCGTTTGATAAGTGGACACAATTGGGAGCCCTGAAGTATGTCTTATCTATATCATATGATTATGGACATGTTAAATTTATTTTCAATTGTACAATACTTGATAATAGAATAATGAGGTGTTAGCTGCTATCTTCAAGGAGGAGGTTTGTAGGCACATTAAGAAAAAGTTCTGGGAGATAATCCTTAGTGGATACCTAGTTGTATTAGGAAATTTAAAATTGGTTTAGCTGATACTGCTTGGAAGCTGTGCCTGGGAGGAAAGAACCTATAGAGTGTAATGAACCAAAAGATCAATTTTGTAATTTTTTTTGTAAAATTAGTATTTTTTTCAACCTCGATAGTTGCCTCGATTTGTTTCTAATCAGTTGATAAAGTTGTTTTGGAAATTTTAAAAAAAATTGTTTAACTATGGGTAGTTAATTGATGGATATTTATAAGATATTTAATTTAGGTCAGAATAATTTCCAAATATGAAATATATTACATACCCTATACTATTTGACTTTTATTAATTAATGGGAAAAGGGTCTGATATACTCCTCAACTTTGTCATTTAGAGCTGATATACCCCTTGTTATGAAAGTGGCTCATATATACCCCTACTTGTAAACAAATGGCTCACATATACTTTTTTCCTCTAACGGAATTGAAAAAAACAATAATTTTAATCTAATTTTTTATTATTCTTTTCTAAAAAATATAATTCCATATGAGTAAATTTAATCCTCGTCAAACATATTTTTTTTGACTTTTTTTTGTTTCAATGACTAATTTATAATTATTATTTTGATAATCAAATTTATTTATGTTTCACTAATATTCTTGTAAAACTTATTGTAGATGACCAAATTTTTTCTTCGAATACGAAATTAAATTACAATACACACAAAAAAATAGTTTAATTTTTTTCTTTAAACTAAGGAATGAAAGAAAAAAATAAAATAAGAATAAGAAACTCAAATAATTATAATAAAAAAAGTCAAAAAATAATTTATGTATGAAAAAAATTAAAATATACCTTAAACTTTGATAGAAGAATCATATATACCACTAAATGATTTTTTAAAAAAAAATTAGAAGTAACAAATATAAATTTAAAACTAATTTTTTAACTTCCATTAAATGAAGGGTATGTGTGAGCCATTTTGTATGGGCACGGGTATATGTGAGCCGTTTGTATATATCAGCTCCAAATGACAAAGTTGAGGGGTATATCAGACTCTTTTCCTTTAATTAATTTACAATTTAAAGAGAAGGAAGAAACTAACTTGTGCATATGAGGCACGAAACGGAAAACAGAAGGTAATCGTCCAAACTTTGTATTGTGGTGTATATGTGATCGGTATAGTTAGAATAATTGGAAAAAATTGTTTATTGTATATGCTGTCTTTTCAATGGAAAAAAAGGGGTTCACCAATCATTATGGAATGATTAGTCAATGATGACAAAAGTAGTAAATGGAAATATATGGCATTATAAACGTAATTAAGGTTTGAACAGTAAGAATTCTCGTGATTTTGTTCGTAATTACTTCGTTGTGTTTTTATTTAGTTATTATTATAATATTATGATTCAAGTTTTGTTATATTTGTGATGTAATTAAATATTCAATGTGATGTATAATATGAGTACCATCAGATTTAGGATATTGGAGGAATTAAGACTTAACCCTAGATTTTAAACTTGAAAAATATGATTGTAGAAATGTGAATTGGAATCAAATTTACGAACTTGATTATAAATTTTAGTGATTTTTCATGACCAAGGCTATACACATAGTAATTTGAGTATTGTTAGTTTCAAAATATTATTTTCAATCTATACTTGAATAGATTGCATTGATTTGGAAGTTCAATGAAAAGAAAAGGATCAAGTCCAAGGATGATTGTTTGGTTATTTGAGAAAAGTGAATTTCCAAACCCTTCTTAAGTATGTGGAATTCGTGTATTTCCTTGTTATATGTGTTTGGGGATAATGAAACTTGGTGATAGGTTGACTAGTCAATATTGATTAATTATAGTAACGAAAAAGGGGGTAATAAGAGACAATATGATTAATTTTCTGTGTATGATGTGTTAGAGAAAGGTATGAACGGCTTATTGAATAATAGTTGATGTTTTATCCTGATTGTGTTGTTGTGAATTGTGTAATGTTATGAAAATGATTTATCTCGTCATTATTTGTGCGAACATGTCATTTGAATTAGTTCTAAGACATGGTGGTGATAAATGTTATGTAAAAAGAGGATGTACTATTTTGAGTGACACTACAACATATTGGGTCTTAGTCACACTAATTCTAGACTACACTTTAAAGTGTTTCATAAAGTATTTTTGGGAACGCTTTCAAAATGTAGCAAAATTTTTTAACTTTTAGCAACAATACTATTGGCAACACTTAAAAAGTGTAGTCTTTATTGCTATAAGATACACGTTATAAGTGTTGCTATAAAATGATATAATTGACAAAAAAAATTTACATATATGACCACACTTTTTTTAATGTCATATTTTAGTATTATAAAAACAACACAATATAAGTGTGACCTTAAATTTTCACCAAAATTTTATATTCCCTCCAACAATTATAATTCTCGCTCCTATTTTTATTGCCAAAACAAATAAACATTAATTAATAATAAAACAAAAAGAGTTTCTCTTTCCTTCTCCCTGTCCCTTTCCTTTTATGAAGAACTCACGCTTTCCCTTTCCTTTCTCTGATATTGTGCTAAAGATCGAGCTCATTCCTTCAAATCACACTTTCAGTTTACTTCTCCGAGCTGAACAACTCACAATTTCCTTATCGAAGATGAAGATCGAACTGAAGATCAAGCTGAAGATCGAGCTTCAGAACTCACCGAGCTGACCGAGCTTTCTCTTCTCATAGCTGAAGATTTCGTCAAGGTAAGAGCTGAAGATTTCATCAAGCTTCTTCATATTGAATGAATTTTATTTTATTTTTGTTTAGAAGGAATTGATTGGGGTTGTTAGCAAGATGAACTGAAGTTAAGTCTCTCCATCACACTTTTCACTCATATTTCTCATTGCAGGACTTGATTTCAGACAGATTTAGGGTTTGCCGCGTAAGAATTCTATCTTTGAAAGTCTAGATTCTAGCTTTAGGGTTTTGATGTTCTTTTGTTTTTATACAATTTTAGGGAGTGTAGCTCATAATTTATCTTTATTAGTTAATTTGTGGGTTCCTTGAGCCTTAATACCTTGTCTTGTGATGTTGAACAAATGAAAAAAAGAAAACTGAATGAACAGAGATATTAGTTGTTCCTTAGATAAAAGTAAAAAATTGTGAAGATTGAGTATAATGAAATGATGGGCATTAAACAGAACAAGTGTTGTTGTAATATGTTATCAACATATTTTGAATTTGATATGGAACCGTTAGTGTAATGTTTTCGTTGAACATTACTCCTCCAGTTCTATTTATATGACATAGTTTCAATTAATTTTTTTAAACTTGCGTGTTAAATTTTTTTTGTCATTTATGTAGCTATAAAACTTTTGAAACATGTAGATTCTCCTGACTAGCTAATCTGAAAAATGGAAGAGTTGAGTTGAAGATTCTCATCTCCAGATTATGATTTTCTCGAAGAAATGAAGAGTTGATGCTAAAGACCTGGGGATCGAAGAAATAAAAATCGAAGAGCTGCAGGACGGAAGCTGAAGAATTGATTTCATCAAGTAAGTACTAATTTACACTAACTTTAGAGACTGAAATAGAGGTGTCGGGTAGTATTATTAGAAGTGTGTGCTAAGGTGACCTTGTTTCATTGACACTGTCTGCACTTGTTGTTAACCCTGCTGCTGTTTGGATTGTTGTTGTTGAGTTTTATTGTTAGCTGGACCTCTATGGTCTGGGTTAAGGTCTGAGTGCACCCCCTCTTGGAAAACATGAGGCAAATTCCCTCCTCCTGTTTCCCCTTTCTGCAGAAGTGAGGCTGTATTAACAACCCCCATCCATCCCTCCTTCAACTTCAACAATGTTAGTAGCATTTTTTGACAAATTATTTGAGTAAGGTTTCATATCTATGATAGCTGATATTTTGCTATTGACATCCCCTCCTTATTGCAACTTTTTGTTTTTCTTTATCATTTTCATGCTCATACCTTTTATGTGTTACCTTTATTGCTGGATGCCCTGTGGTGGTAGGTTCTTCTCTTGTTATAGCTTGAATTTCCTGTATTTCAAGTTAGTGAAAGCATTGTGAAGTAATATGGGAAGTAATATGTTGCTTGTGCGGTGTTTTGGGGAGCTTCCTTGGCTGTCGGACTTTTTGGTGAGGTAGGTTACCATGTTGTTTTATGGGGTCTCACTTCTTGATGTCTTTGATTCCTTTTTCTTTGTGTTTGCCATTCTTCTTCCTTCTGTTGTTAAGGTTTATTTTGTTTGTTCATCTCCCTAATGTTTTGTTGTTGTTTTTCTGTAGCATCTTTTGCATTGTCATTGTTATTTTATTTCTCTTTCTTGTTTTGATTCTCCTTGCTTTTATCCTTCTTTTCCTTTTCATTCTCTTTTCTATTTCTGTAATCCTCCTCCCTCATTCGAAAATTCCATTCCTCTATGTAGTGTCCTTGGTGCCTGCAATACTCACAGTATGGGGGATGTTTTCATATGGTCATTCTTTCCATTCAAGCTTGCCTTCAATCGTCATTCTTTGTTGTGTTCAGACTGTGTTTTAATCAAGTTTATTTTACAGGTTAATAAACATTTGTTTAGCATTATAGTTTGCAATGTTGACCCCCCCCCCCCCCCCCCACACACACACACACACACACTTAATTGAGTATTTGTTGCTGCTATTTATTATGTTCTAACTTTTTGGAGATTTATGTTACCCATGGCCATGGACTATGGGTAAATGAGTAAGCATTTAGTGCTGATTTTTTCTTCTTCTTGAAACTACTGTTCAGTTGGGAAGATCAGAAACTGCAGCAGCCATTCACTGGCGAGCACGGAAGACCCTTAAGAAGAGTATTTCACTTCTACCCTCATTGGGTATCTGATCAATCTCATGTGAGAATACTTTTTTGACTTGGGAATGAATACTTTGAGCTGGGTAAAGTGATTTCTTATGCGGTGCACCATCTCATATATCATTAAGGTGCCAATCTTGATCTACATCACACTCTGAGGTATTTTTTTGTTTCGATGACATGCTTATGTGATCTAAGTCACTGTTAAAAGAGCTTTCCCTATATTCTTAGGCAGGACCTTGGCAAAAACTGTTATATAAAGGTTTTAGGAGAGCGAGCTATTGTCATATGCGATTTAATTTTCTTGACCTCTCAAACTAGTTGGAACAACAAAATTTTGTAGATGAGTACCTTAAGCTTTGTGTGTTAAACAAACAATGTACCATTTCTATCGAGAAAGCCTTCATATGGTCTCTTTTAATTTCAAAATTTTCTTTTTTATCAAATATAGTAATATTTTCATGTTGAGTTCCAGTTTAGTCATCCACCTATTTATTCCAGAAAGATAATTTCTCAGGATTGCAATTGATTTTGTGCATAAGTTGATTCTTGTCTTGTCATTTGTACCTTATTTATGACATGTTAAGAATTTGATTTATGGCCATGGGTAACATAAATCTCCACAATGTTAGAACATAAATGCTGACTTTTTTGTGTGGGTAAGGGACGTTTGTAAAAGTTGATGGAAATCTTGGGAAAGTCCTTATGGTAATTACTTTACTCATCATTGGTTTTAGGATGGTGCTGATGGTCTTGGGTCCAATTGTTCAGCATTTCTTTTTGGTTATGATTGGATTGTTGTCCACACTCACTCACACTCTCCCCTGTATTTATTCACAACTTTCCACAGCCTTTTGTCCCATGGCATTAACATGCTCATGGTAAACAATTTGATCATTAAAAAAAACTGGTTGAGCATAGAGTTAGAGGGAGTAGACTTACCATTTTGATGATTCTTCTGTTTTGAGATTGTGTTCTGTATTTTAGGGACAGTAGCATGGGATTCCTGAAAAATGTCATGTGAATCGTTAGTGGTATCAACAAGTATACCTGTATTAGGAGAGTTATCCGTGCTTGGGCTTAAAAATGAAAAATATGTAAATCGTCAAATCTGCAGATCTACGGATCTATGTTGCATTTTAAAAATGTGTTGTGGTATCCTGTTGTTCTATATTTAGTGGAAAAATTGTAATCTAAAATATATATGTAAATCTGCAAATGTGCAATATGCAAATCTGCATATCTGTACTTTCTAGCTTGGGTTTTTACTTTTGGTCTTCTAAATAATGTGTTTGAACTTCTTTAAAATGATGTTTACAACTTGAACATGTTTCTCGATAAGATGAAACTGGCGTAGAAGAACAAAAAGAGATCTTTTCAAAATTTGAGTGGCAAAGGTATGTGATTTGTTGACTGCTATCAAGAAAAAGAGATCTCGATATGTTTTTGAATATTGTTGAATGCTGGTTAAACACTCTAAATGTTTAGCAATTTTCTCTTTTTAGTTGTTGTTAGTGGCTTGTTTGGTATGGTTAGAGTCTAGTTTTTGCTATGTGAGATTTTGTTTCCATTTTAATTATGTTCTGGGTGTTAGCTGCTAAGATTCGAAATGGTATTTCTCTACTACTCTAGTCGACTGATCCTTCAGTGTATGCCATAGTCAATCTGGAATCTGGAATCTGCAATCTGCAGAATTATTATTTTCTGTAACATCCAAATGCAATCTGGAATTTGAAATCTGCAGATTTACTATTTTATAAACTTCCAGTTGTAATCTGCAGATATATTACCTCAGTATGCAATCTGCAGATGCCTGTGCTCTTCTCCACTGAGATTTTCTTGAATTAGTGTCACCACATGCTATCTGTTTAATTTGTTGAATTGCTTCAATGGCTTTCTCTTTCTCTTCTTTCCTCCATTTCATCCTCCGAAGCCCATATCTCTCCCATTTTCATCTGAAATGTGTTTCTTCAACTATTTTACCTTCTAAAGCACAAGAACTCTTGCAAGATTTCACACCAAAGTAATTTCTCGACACCCTTCGTTAAGAAAATGATGAAACTTCAGCTTTTCATCACTTTAAATGGGCTTCTAAGCAGCCCCATTTCATACCCACTTTGTCTATATTCGAAAAGATTCTAAGGAAGCTTGGAAATATGGGATGTTTTGATTTAATGAAGGGGGTATTGGATGATATGAAGAGATTGAAGATTGAATTAGTTGAAGGTACTTTCTTTATCTTTATTGAAAGTTATGCGAAATTTGAGTTGTATAATGAAGCTATTAAGGTTCTTGATATGATGTAGAATGAGTTTTGTGTAATGGCTGGTACTTTTAATTATAATTAGTTGTTGAATGTTCTTGTTGATGGGAATAAGTTTAAATTTGTTGAAAATGCCTTGGATGAAGGTGTAAAGGCAGTAAAAGGAACACCTGCTGGCTGTAAAGGCATCAAAAGTAGAATGTGCAAGTATAATTATAATAATAGTAATATAAAATATAACTGTAGATATTATTCAGGCACATGTACAAATACAGAAATAAAATAGGAAATAAATAGGAAAAAATTATTTTCTGTATATAAATGTTTATTACCTACCATTTGAGCCATATATTGTATATAACAAATTTATTGTAAGAACAGATAATACACAAGTAAAATGGTGGTTAACCAGAAAAATACAAGATTCGGTAACAACAAAAGAAATTAGAAGACTAGTATTAAATATATTAAACTTTACATTTACAATTGAAGGAATAAAGACTAACAAGAATGGTGTTGCAGACTACTTATCAAGACAAAACTACTCAGACTGAGAACAAAAATGAAGATACAATCGAAGAGCTACTTAAAGCCATTACTACACTTTGTACCAAAGTGGATAGAATGGACAATGAGATACAAAAGTTAAAGACTAATGAAGATAACCTGAAGTCTAAAGCTAATATAAGTCAGCAGCATGACTATAAAAATGCGGAGCTACGTCGATCGGAAGATGATAAAATTTCAGAGATAAAAAGAGACGATGGAAAACTCCCTAAACCCAAAACGTTTGTTTAAATACAGTTGCAGGTACAAGCAGGAAAGTTCGTGAGAAATCACGAACTACAAACTTAAACCAGTTATTTATAAAACCATTTACCCAAAACACACAAAAACATATACCCACAGAACCACAAACTTGTACATACGCAGTTAGTATACAGAGTAATAAAAAAAGATACAATTATATCACACAATCATACGTTGAAAATATATATAAGATCCAAACCTATTTAAATCTCAACCCCAGATCTAACAAAACCAAAGATCTAAACCAAAACTATATAACCCAAAAATTACAAGGATACAATAGACTTATAGCACAACCAAAAACTAGTGCTAATCTAGTCAAGACATGTTATAGTTATGGACTACTAAGTACAATATTTACATACGACGGAGAAGAAATTAGTAGAATACCAGAGTTATACAAAGCATCTATTACATATAAAAGAGTTACAAAAGGAAATTTGTTTTATATTAAGTTTTATACAGCACGAGCAGAGATATTGTATGAAGAAATTAGGTCACCGATTCAAGTTATTAAGATAGGATTAACAAAATATATGATCATACCAAAAGATATTGGACATCTGAACAAAATACCAAAAATGTAAATACCAGATTTCTATGCCAATAAAAGAATAATGGGTATATCAACTATCATATAAAAATTAGCAAACAATTATTTAAATGGAAACGCTATATGGAGTTATTACGCTAGAGATCAAGTTATGATATATTCGAACTCGAGGGAATTAAGAAGAGAAGATATGGATGAAGTGCAGCGATGTATTTTGTCACTATTAAAACCAGAAGAACAACCTACGACAAGAGCATTGAAAAAGGAATTTATTTTAGAAGAATTATTAATCAGATATTGAAAATTTATTGGACACAAATATCCATATCACAGATGATCCAAATGCAATGGAGGAGATAACGTTATACTAGATGTTGATTTGAAATAAGGATAAGGAGAAAAAGATGCAATATAAGATAAGGTGAAGAAAAGAAAAAGAGTTATGGCAGACAAATAAAAAATGACAAAAGAAAAAAGAGACATAAAGATAGACAATGTGGCAAACAAAGAGATAGAAATCTTTGGAAAAATGTAAAAATAAAGAGATAAGATTCCTTTGTACAGTAAATAACTTTTGCTTTTTTGAAAAGTCAATGTGTATAGCCGGCATTTGTAAAGTTTTGTTTAAAAAGTCGTAAAGTATATATAGTAGATGCACTTATGTGTAGGCTTAGGATTTAGTATATATAGATTGTCAAATTGTAAATGAAAGGCAGGCAATGCCAAACTAATGTTCAACTTAATAAATCCTCTCTCAAAATACAAACCTCTCTTAAATATACAAACTAAGAAAAACATATGGAAAAATCGGAAATACAATCAGATATCTCAGATAGCATGACAAATCAAGAGGCAAATATATATTGTTTATTAGATATGCAGAATTAATTTCATATATTCCTGAATATCATATTTATGATTGATTAAATTTCATATATTCCACTGTGAGATGGCATAGTCTAGAAGTTTTCTCCCTATTTCCCGTTTACTAACAAACTAGAATTCATGATTCAAATATTTCTAGTGTATAATAACTAACATAAATTTAATCAATCATAAATATGATATTCAGGAATATATGAAATTAGTTCTGCATATCTAATAAACAATATATCTTTGCCTCTTGATTTGTCATGCTATCTGATTGTATTTCCGATTTTTCCATATGTTTTTCTTAGTTTGTATCTTTTACAGAGTTTTGTATTTTGAGAGAGGGTTTATTAACTTGAACTTTAGTTTGGTATTCCCTGTCTTTTATTTACAATTTGACAATCTATATATACTAAATCCTAAGCCTGCACATAAATGCGTCTACTGTATACTTTACGACTTTTTAAATAAAACTTTACAAATGGCCGGCTATACACATTGAACTTTCAAAAAAGCAAAAGTTATTTACTGTACAAAGGAATCTTATCTCTTAATTTTTATATTTTTTCAAAGATTTCTATCTCTTTGTCTGCCACCTTCTCTATCTTTATATCTCTTTTTTCTTTTGTCATTTTTTCTTTGTCTGCCATAACTCTTTTTCTTTTCTTCAACCTTATCTTATCTTGCATCTTTTTCTCCTTATTCTTATTCCAAATCAACATCTAGTATAACGTTATCTTTTCCATTGCATTTGGAGCATCTATGATCTGGATATTTGTGTCAAATAAGTTTGCAATATCTGATTAATAATTCTTCTGAAATAAATTCCTTTTTCAATGCTCTTGTCGTAGGTTGTTCTTATGATTTTAATAGTGAAAAAATCCAGCATCTACTGGATGGAGGGGCACCTCAGCTTGTGGATCTGGATAGAACCGATATGTTGGAGGATTCCGAGCCTGGTGGAAATACCTCAGCGGTATATCGCTGGACTTCATCCATATCTGCTCTTCTTAACTCCCTCGAGTTCGAATATATCATAACTTGATCTCTAGTGTAAAAACTTCATATAGCATTTCCATTTAAATAATTGTTTGCTAATTCCTGTATGATAGTTGATATACCAATTATTATTTTATTGGCATAAAAAGTTGGTATTTCTATTTTTGTTATTTCGTTCTGATGTCCAATATCTTCTGGTATGATCATATCTTTTGTTAATCCTATCTTAATAACTTGAATCGGTGACTTAATTTCTTCTCATACAATATCTCTGCTGGTGTTGTATAAAACTTAACTTAAAACAAGTTTCCTTTTGTAACTCTTTTATATGTAATAAATGCTTTGTATAACTCTGGTATTCTACTAATTTATTCTCCGTCGTATGTATATACTATACTTAGTAATCCATAACTATAACATGTCTTAACTAGATTAGCACTAGTTTTTGGTTGTGCTATAAGTCTATTGTATCCTTGTAATTTTTGGGTTATATAGTCTTGATTTGGATTTTTGGTTTGGTTAGATTTGGGGTTGAGAGTTAAATAGGTTTGGATCTTATATATATTTTCAATGTATGATTGTGTGATATAATTGTATCTTGTTTATCACTCTGTATACTAATTGCGTATGTAGAAGTTTGCGGTTCTGTGGGTATATGTTTTTGTGTTTTTTGGGTAAATGATTTTATAAATAACTGGCTTAAGTTTGTATTTCGTGATTTCTCACTAACTTTCCTGCTTGTACCTGCAGCTGTATTTAAACAAACGTTATGAGTTTGAGGGAGTTCCCCATCGTTTCCTTTTATCTCTGGAATTTTATCATCTTCCGATCGACGCAGCTCCGCATTTTTATAGTCATGCTGCTGACTTATATTAGCTTTAGACTTCAGGTTATCTTCATTAGTCTTTATCTTTTGTATCTCATTATCCATTCTGTCTACTTTGGTACAAAGTGTAGTAATTGCTTTGAGTAGCTCTTCGATTGTATCTTTATTTTTGTTCTCAGTCTGAGTAGCTTTGTCTTGATAAATAGTCTGCAACACCATTCTTGTTAGTCTTTATTACTTCAATTGTAAATGTAAAGTTTAATATATTTAATATCAATCTTTTAATTTTTTTTTTGTTATTGAATCTTGTATTTTTTCTGGTTAACCACCATTTTACTTGTGTATTATCTGTTTTTACAATAAATTTGTTATATACAATATATGGCTCAAATGGTAATAAACATTTATATACAGACAATAATTCTTTCCTATTTATTTCCGTATTTGTATATGTGCCTGAATAATATCTACAATGATATTCTATATTACTATTATTATATTTATATTTCAATACTCCTCCATAACTCTTTTCACTTGCATAAGTTTCTACTATATAAATAATTTATTTATCTTCATCCGGAAAATATAATTTCGGTAATGTTTTACATAATAATTTTATCTTTTGTATTTGTGTTTGATCTCTATTATCAAAATGGTATTCACGTCTTTCTTTAGTTTTTATTGTAATAGTTTTATGTTTTCTACTAATTTTGGTATATATTCCCTTAATTGGGTAAGTAATCCTAAAAAGGATTGTAATTTCTTTTTTGTATCTAATTGTTAATTTGAGGTTATTTTTTTTGTACTATATACGTTTGCATCTTTATTCCATTTTTATATATTTGTATTCCTAGGAATTCTATTTGTTTTTTTCATTATTTCTGCTTTCTTTTTGCTTAAACTTATTCCTGAGTGTTGTATTATATGTATAAATTTTTCCAGTAATCTTATGTGTTCATCTTGTGTTTTAGAATATAATAATATATCATCAATATATACTACACAATTTTCTAGTTGTTTAAAATAGTTATCCATAAAATGTTGAAACCTACATGGTGCATTTTTACATCCAAATGGTAAACATTCCATTCGTAAAATCCTTGTGGTACTGTGAATGCGGTAAGTTTTTTAGATTCTTCTTCTAATTTTAAATGATAAAATCCTGATTTACAATCAAATTTACTAAAGTAATTATATCCATGTATTTGTCTTATCTTTAATATTTTTTTTTTGTATTGGATAATTGTATGTTTTAGTTTTTGCATTTAAATTTCTATAATCAATTACCATTCTACTTTTTCCTCTTTTTTTTTCACTATATTTATTAACAATAAATGACAGACTTGTATGTTTACTATTACTTTCTTGTATATATCCATTTTTTAATAATTCACTTATATGTATTTTAAATTCATTTAAATCATTAAAATTATATTTTAATGGTTTCTGTGTTATTATACTATTTTCATCAATCAGTTCAATTTTAACTTGTGTTTTATGTTTTTCCCATCCTTGTAAAGGATCTTTGTCATATAATAATTCTAATTTTCTTGGATTATTTTTACTTTATCTAAGGAAAATATAATTAATTCTATTCTAGGGTCTTCTTTTTTTATATTTTCTAATTTTTGTGTAATTTTTTCACTGCCTTTAATTCATTCTGTTGTTTTTCTTCTTTTATTACCTACTCTTCTTGCTCCTACCTTTGTTTACATGGTGTTGTGAACCACCAGTGTGTTTTGTTATTATATGTGGATATAATTTTTCTAAAAATGGCATTCCTAATAACATAACATTTGTTGTTAGTTCAAAATTATATATTTTGTTTACAGTTAATATTTTATCCCATATTTGTATTTTTATATTTTTTGACTTGTATGTGATCATACATTCCTCATTATTAAATCCTGTTACTACTATTGGTGTTTTTAACTTTTCCCATTTTTCTTCTGGTAAACAATTGTATTTACATATATTAGCCTCTGCTCCTGTATCTATCATTGATGTATAATATCTGTTATAATATCCTTCTATTATTATCTTCGCGAGTATACATATTTTCATATATTTATATTAAAGTTCTTTTTATTATGACTTTTTTATTTTGATAATTTATCTTTAATTGTTTATCCTCTATATTATATGGTTTTACTTGTTCTAGCCATTTTATTCCTAATGTTATATTCTCATTTTCTTGATGTATTTTAAATTTTACTATCATTGGTATACCTCCAATTATTATTTCTTGTTCTGTTCTTCTTCAATACTTATTAATACTTTTGGTAATGCTGGGCATGAGTGTTCCGTAATTATTTTATCTTCCATTACTAACTCTCTTGTAATATAGCTTTCTTCTTGTCGTGTATTTATTAGTATTAAATATTTTCTTTGTTCTATTATTCCTGTTATATAATAATGGTGTGATTTTATTTTTTCTTCTATTAATCTTTGTGAACTTATATTTATTTTTTTGGAATTATTTGAAGTACTCATTCTTGATTATGTTTGTGATATATCATTATTACATATTCTTTTTGATGTGCTTAGTCTTTCTTGTACTATCTCTAAATCTCTTTCTATATCAATTTCGTTATAACTATAGTCATTATTATCTATAACCGTAACTATTTTTTCAAAGGGGTTTTCTACTTTTATTTTATTTATTTTATTTTTTGTTGTTATTTTATGTTTTGTTGTTAAAACATATAAATTTTTACATCTGGATGTAAATATTTTACTTCCGGGTGCTAGCTCTATTCCTGACATTTTCCAATATAATACTAATGATTTATCTATATTTTTGTCATTAATTGCTACTGAGTAATTAGCACGTATTATAAATTTAAATTTTTTTGTATATTAAATTACTTTTTACTGCATTTATTATACTTTTTTCTATAGGTTGTATAATTCTGTCATCTGCTAAACATATTCCTATAGGTGTATCTATTCCTTCTCTAAAACATGCTTTTATTAATATTTCAGTTCCTCCTAAATGTACATATTTAATTGGATTTTTAGCATTTATATCTTGTATTTCATTATTAATTATTCTTTTATTTATTATTGGTATTTTAACTTTTCATTTTGTATACTTATAGTCTATGATATGTTCTCTTTGGCTTACTACATAATATATTTTTTTTGTCTTTTAAATCAATTTTTTATTTTTGGTACTTCTAATATTTTTTCTACACTTAGATCTAATTCTTTTCCTTTTATTTGTTCAAATATACTATTATCAAATAGTATTTTTTGTTCTAAAGTTTCTTCATCTTGAAATTCTTCTTTATTTATTATTTGTATATGTGCTTCAGTCAATTATACTATAAAGTTCATTATCTGATTCTTATTCTATGTCATTATCCATTTCATTTTATGATATTTCATGTATACTATCTTCACTTTCTAAATCGCAATCGACATATTCTATTTGTGTATATTTTTCGTTTTTCATAATTATTTCTGATATCTTTTTTTTCTTTGGATTTTTAGGTAATTTACAGTCTTTAGCTAGATGTCCTAATTTTCCGCTATCATAGCAAGTACATTCCGTCAATTTTCTTTTTGGTCTAAATGGTCTTTTAGTTTTGTATTTTTTTACATAATATCTCTTTCTTGGTTTTTTATATTTATATGTTGATCTATATTTTTTTTATAGTTTTTATTTTTATTATACTTCTTTTTATAATATCTATCTGTGCAACCAAATTAAGGTGCTATTGTATTTTTGCAACATGCTAAATTTTTTACTAATACTTTTTCCATTTTTATGTCTTCTTTATGTTTTTCACATAATTCTGTAAACCATTTTTGTAACAATTTCATTCTAGCTCCTAAAGTATCTTTTAATTCTGCTTCATTCCAACTTTTTATTATTTTTGAACTAAAAGGTTCTGGTAATTTTTGTAAAATATAATTTTCTTATTTCTTTACTTTCTTCCATGTTATATGTTCCTTTATAATAATATTCTCTAAATGTGCATGTATATTTATTTATATAACACATATTATTATAAATATAGAGAATTAGAAGAACAAAATAAATAAAAAATTATAAATAGAAATGAATTAAGTAGTATGACAATAGAATTAGAAGAACAAAATAAAGAAAAAATTATAAATAGAATTTATATTCTCTATTTATAATTTTTTGTTTATTTTGTTCTTCTAATTCTATTGTCATACTACTTAATTCATTTCTTATAGCTATTTCATATTAATTTAATATTTCCATAGATGTTGTAGCTATTTCTCCATTAAATTTTTATTATTTTTTAAAGTCTTTATACTTTCTTGTGTTAAATTTTGTAACCATAATTTTGCTATTCCTATAAGTGTTCTTTCTATATATCCTGGTGTTTCCGTCATTCCTATCTTATTATCTATTAATTGTTTTGATATATATCCCATCCATAATTGAATTGTTTTATTTATATCTGCTACACAGTCTAAATCTAAAAAATTATGTTGTTCAGTTGTTGGTTTAGGCGTCCACTTATTTAATCTTTTATCCCATAAAATCTTTTCTCTATCATATTTTTCATAACTTATATTATAATATGTTGGATTTAAGTATTTGAATTTTTTACTCGTGATTTACTAGGTTTTTCATTCATGTCTATATCTCCCGTATTTATTTCTACATTTTTCGTATTGTCAATATTATCTAAAAGTTCTGTATATGTTTCACTTATCTCTGAGTATTGTTCTGCTAAATTATTGTTGATATCATCAAATCAATTCTTACCTCTGGTAGATTAGTTATATTATTTTATTAATTTCTTTATCGTCTAATTGCAATCTTTCTTTAAATTTGTTTATCTCATTTGCCATGTTTTTTTTCTGTTCTTTATCTTTTTGTTTTATTTCATACATTTCTTTCAACATTGCTAATTCTTTTCTAGCTCTAAAATTTCTTTGTTTTTTACATTTCCTATTTGTTGTACTTCTTTCCTCGCTTGATGTTTTATTTTTTCAATTTCCATTTTTCTATCTATTTCTTCATTTTCTTTTGCTATCCTTTCCATAGCAGTTAAACTATCTTCTAATTTTACCGTTTTTTTTTCTAACATTAAACTTAAATTGTCACCTATTTTCTTATATCTTCTTCCTAGATTAGAAAATATTATTCTTATTTTTAATCCTTCATAGTTTTCAAATATTTTCTCATCTATTGCATATTCTTCCTTATTTATAAATTATGTTGTAGTTTATATTCTAAATTATTTATTTGTATTTCTAGATATAAAATAGTATTTCTTTGTGCTATTATAGATTTTTAACAAATTCCTGCAAATATAT